AATTTAAAAAATGTGGTGAGAAAAGTATTAAATAAAAGAATAAAAAAAGAATGAAATATGATAGTGGTATTTACTATGAAAACAAATTATTCAACAAAGTTTTTGAGTTAGGAATGGAGAGAGGAGAGAGGCAGAAGGGGAATGAGGTTGCAATAGAGCACGAGTTTTAATAATAATAATGATGATGAAGAAGAAAAAGTAATGATGGACGTTGGATGCTGATTAATGAGAGAAAAGGCCGCACTTAATGGGTTGGACTTTCATTAGGGATGAATTAAGGGTATTTATGTGCTTGACAATTAAGTAGGGGAGAAAGAGAGAGATTAGGATTTGGAGAGGGGGGTTAGGAGTCAGGACTTTAGGCGTTAGGAGGAGGAGATAAGATTAGGAAGATGAAGGGGAAGAAGGGGCCCACCGCCGCAACAAAGGCACGTGCAAAGGGCCTAAGCCTACCAACCACCGTCCAACGGGGCTGCACTCCCCACACGCCACTCCCTTCCCTCCATCCTCAATCCTCCCACGCTATCCTCTCAAATTGAACATTTTCTCTCCCAACATATGATTTTTTCCCTTAAATGATTCCCATTAATTATACAGTATATTAAAGGAATTTTCATAAGAAATAGTGATATAAATCACTAATTTTTTTAATATTTACAAATTAGTTATTCAAATCATACTTCCTGTCCTGTCCTACATAAGAAATACAATACTTCAATTCACTTCTCTTCCTAAATTAATGCTTTTTCCCTCTAAGGGTGTGTTTGGATGAAACCAAACCGTGGTTTGGAAAAGTGATTCTGGAGAATAGATTTTGGGGAAAATAGATTCTGTGAAGAATAGATTTTGTAAAAAAGTGATTCTGAGAAGTGAGAGTGTTTGGATAGTTGTTATCAGAAGCACTTTTATATATACAAATTACTAAAAAAAAGACATAAGTTAATATGATAATTACAGAAAAAATAGATTTTATGATATATTTTAATTTGAAGGAATAAAATTGTTAATAATATGTTTTTTACCAACATAATTAATAATACATAAGATAATATAATTAATAAATAATTAATGTGTATATATATTTATAAAATATAAGATTAAATATATTTATAAAAAAATATGTTTATAAAAAAAATAACAAGATACATATCATATAGGCCCTCACACTCTCCTTTTTTCTCCAAAAGCAAAAAAATTTTGCTTTTTCCAAAACCATGGTTTTGGTTTTTGGAGGGGGTGTTTGGGTAGATTATTCCCCAAACCATGGTTTGGGGTGTCACCCAAACACACCCTAAGTATCTCTAGTGATTATACTACCTCCGGTCCTTAATATAAAATTCTGTTTGACTTTTATTTTGGTCATAAATATAAGACTCCAATCCATTTTGTCTCTCATATCTATATATTTTTTTCCAAAGTAATCCTGCTAATAATGATAGTTCTAGTCAACACACTTGATTAGTAAAGATATTTTAGGAAACACAACGCCTATTTAGGACAAATAACTAACTCAACTAACTTTCTTAATCTCCTCAAGTTAGTCAATTAGCTCTTATAATTAGGATAGGAGGTAGTACATAGTAAGAGGATATTCATAAAGGCAGCTACAATGCGCAGGATTAAAATAAGTTTTTTTAGAAAACCAATATATATTTATTATAAATAATTTAACTAATTTTTTTTAATTTATTTAAATTAGTGAAGCGGGACTTACATTAAAAATCAAAACACTAGTTTGGATTGGAAAAGGTAATTTGTAAACAAAACCTGTGACTTAATGATTATGATGCCTTTTCAGCATTGGTTGAGCGTACTAAGGCTAGTGCAGTGACGCTATTTTTGCTTTTGCACGCCTCTGCCTCTCCTCCTCCAATCATTCATCCCATCAGATCTCTACTCTCTGCATCCTCATCAATGTTTTCCGCAGTACTTTTGCCCCCACCAACTTTCCAATTACCATGTCTTCATCACCATTCTTCAGAATAATTCTGAAACTTGCGTATGCTTCCCATAGAGTACACAAAATCAACGTAGAACATATCCAACTAATCTTTCCGAAACGCTTTTTAATGTACCATTTTTCTTCATTCCCAGAGGCCGGGCCCTTTATGTTTTTCCAGTACCTGCACCATTTGCTTCAAGCCTGCAACCACCCACTCCTTGTTTGTTTCACCACTCTTACTCCCTCTCTCTCTCTGTTATTGTGAATGTTGTTTTGAATTCTAAGAATTCTTTTGTTAAGACATCCATACTCTTACATTGTTAAATCTTCCTTTGAGACTTGCACAATGAAACAAAAATGAGAACCAAAAAAGGTTTTCTCTTCTATTTGATACCTTTTAATGTCTTTATATGGAAGAGGCCACAGTGACATCACAGGGAAAAGCTCAGAAGGGAAAAAAAAATGAGACTTGGTTTCACCAGAAGATACTAACAAGATTGGGAACGAGAAAAGCAAGACGGTATACATTTAAACACTCAAGATTATTCATATAGTAGAATGTCTGTATTTAAAATACTGCCCAAAAACAGATTAATCATTTTATGGGACTTATTAGCAATTTACCTTTCCTCAAAAGAAAAAGTACTTGCAGCAAACAGAGGATTAATTAAAAGGACGCTATAAGGCATATTTGTCCACTGTGTAGAAGTTGGGTAGGGTCATGTAATGGAGCGAGGATCTACGAGTGAAGCACAAATGACCCCACCACAAGTCATGCATGTGATGTTGGTGGAAGTTGAACCTATATATTTAACAATTCACAACCTACTTACAATAATTACCCCTTTGACAAGGACCCTCTCGCAAATGCAATCAATTCCTTTCACAATCTCCAATTTTATCTTCTACTAAAACCACCGCGTCCAAGAAAAAACAGGCTCGCATCTGATGATGGGTTTATATAAACTAAACTAAACATCTTTTAATGTGGTTGCTTAGAACTTTGATGTGATCGGCTGATTTGGAAAAAGGAAAAAACACAGATTTTTCTCTTAAGAAATAGAGGGGAGGGAGTGGAGGGGAAGTAAGAGAGGGAGAGAGATAGAGAATAAAATATCTGGTGGAAGCTTCTAATGTTGCTACCTAACACATTTGAAAAAGGGAGGGAGGGATTGATGGGTTGAAAAGTGAGGCTCCTCTTTATAAGTGGGAAGGGCCATTATTTATTTTTGGATCCCTCCCCTCAAATTATGACCTAATTTAATTTCACCCCTCTGTCCTTTCTCCTCGTTTCTATCTCTCTACGTCTTCCTTTGCTTTTGAAACAATTCAATGCTCTCTCCTTCTAGGATCCTTATCTGGCTCCCTCCCTCCCTCTCTCTAGTTTGTAAAACAAAACAAATAAATAAAATATTTTGTTCATTTAGTGTGTGTATATATATATATGTTGATGTGATTAATTAATATACATGTATAATTGTATTAATCCAAGTTAATGAGTGAGGCAATGACATGACCCTGAATTGATGGTGGCAGATCAAAATTTGGACGGTTGGTAAGATCCATTCACTTTCCATTTTTGCTTTTAATATTTTCCCTTTCATTTCATTTACTCCTTTCTCTCCTACCTTCCTTCCTTGTATTTTCCCATACGCCACTAATTGCATTTTGATTCCCCCCTCCCCCCAAAAAATAAAACATTTGTTAACACCCTTCAATTAGCTCCATTTAACCACATAACCCAAAACTGCAAACAAGCTCCTTTTCTTCCTAATTACCTACCGCAGAACATCCTTTCAATTGACCCCCAAATCCACACATTTACTGAATGAATTGTTTTGCCACTCCAACGTTTCATTGGGTTTCATTAACTTGACCAAACTAATTGAGTATACCTAATTTATTTGGTACCAAATCATGGATTGGAGAGTAAATGATGTGTATGATGAGAAAAAAATAGCTTTACCAATTATGCCAAGAAGAAAAAGATTGATGTCTAAACATGTTTTTGCAGTATTTACTCACCACCAACATCTTTTTCTGGTTTTTGTACTAAAAGGGGTACTTTTTAATTTTAATCTTTTTTTGGGCGGTACCTATCTCATTTTGATTCTACCAAACGGATTGGCGATGACGTATATATCCTCATTTCCTTGTTATCATGTACAAAACCATGTATTTATATTCCAAGTAAATACGAAACCGACCTTGAATTAGAATTTATAATTGGGGTATATGATGATACACACACACAAGTAATGAAGTTGGTTAGATCATGAGCTAAATAATAATAAAGGTTAGGAGGTAGGTAGAAATGAGATGGTGAGAGGTACACTAGGGGACAAAGAGGTTAGTTCATTCACGCATTTGAGAGTAGTGAGTGAGAGTAGTGCTTTTGTTTGAGAGCTATTGGGATTCCCATTCTCTCCTTCCTTCCTTCCTCCTCCTCTCAGCGCTTATCCATTTCCCCCTTCTCTACCACTCATTTCTTCTTAAATTTTCTCCATACCAAGACAAATTAAACCCTTCTCCCTCAAAGTCCCCCAACTTCAATGGAATCTATCTATCTATCTATCTATCTATCTATCTATATACTTATATGTGCTGCTTAATTTAATAATCTCCAACAGCATGAGTTTTGCTGAGTAATCATATTGTTCTATTATTCCATGGATAGATGCACCATGTGATGCTCCAGCCAATGTGTCTTCATCTTACACCCCAATAAGCTTATGATGTGATTAATAAAATAATCAGTGGATCAATTGCGAGAGATGAGGAGATTAATATACGTGACTTGGAAATTCTTTTGACACCCTGCAATGATGCACATGAACTTGAACTTTTTAAATTGTCGTTAGAAAGATCTATTATACATAGTTTACTCATGTAGATGTAGTATAATATTATTATATTGTTCATATATCGTAAGTGGCCGGTGGAAATGTTAATTGTAAGAGTTACTAATTAGGGGAGCTAGGGCAAGTAATTAATTGAATTTTGTTCTTCAAGAAAGACGAAGAAAGGAAGAAGGGGACATGCATGGAGAGGAAGATAATGGCTTCAACTGTACGGCTTAAACTATATTATCCTATGCATCAGTAATCGGTTATACCATTTGGAGAAGAAAAGAAAATTAAGAGGCTTCAAAATTAACAATTAAGCATCACTCTCCCTCATTTCTCTCCCACTCTGTTTTTCCTGCTCTACAATAATGATATGCTGTAGCTTGTTGTTTCATTTCATCTCCAAGCTTCTGTAATCCAAAACAGAACTTTTCAACCCCAAGAAATCATACCCACCAGTGCTACTACTTCCACTAGTGCTGCCGTTGATGTTGCCAACAATTCCACAGCTGCAATCCTTGCTGTTCTGCAAACCCAAACTGCAAGCGAAACAAAGGCTTCTTCTTCCTCCACCACTCTTGAGTATGGGCTGATGAACTTCATCCTCCGCCTCCTGGTTTTGATGAGGAGGACTAATGGTGAGCTCCAGGTTGAGGTCAGGGCATCGTTCTAGTGCGACGCCCTTTTTCGCATCCCTGCAAAGCTCCGCAAACACGTTCGCCTTGCTGTCATCACTCTCTTGTTTGACATGGGAGGCGAAAGAGATGGTGGTGGCTTCTTGATTGTTCTGGGCGGAATTGGGGGACTCATTCAGAGGCCTGTGAGTGGAAGGGTCGATTCCTCTGTTCAGAAGCTTCCTTCTGATGTGGGTGTTCCAGTAGTTCTTTATCTCATTGTCTGTTCTTCCCGGCAATCGTCCGGCTATTAGAGACCACCTGGAGTGAAAAGAACGAAAACCCATCGTGAGTAAAATCGGGCGAAGAGAAAGGATAGGGCGGAAGCGAGAGATTGGTGGGGGGGGGATCTCACTTGTTACCGAGAAGACTATGGAGTTTGATGATGAGCTCGTCTTCTTCCTCAGTGAAATTGCCGCGTTTAAGGTCGGGGCGGAGGTAGTTGATCCAGCGGAGGCGGCAGCTCTTGCCGCAGCGGAGGAGGCCGGCGGCCTTGGGGAGGGAGCGCCAGCAACCCTCGCCATGAGCTCGGATATAAGCGATGAGGCGATCGTCTTCTTCTTTGGTCCAAGCACCTTTGTTGGTGTGGGCTTTCTCACAACAGGGAGACCTTCCCATATTGAAAGGAAGAGAAATGGGAGAGCGTATGCGACGAGTCTGTCGATGGGGCAATAAGGCCGGCGTGGAAGCAGCTCTGAGTGTGATTTTTATAGGCTTTTGACCCCTTTTAGAGAGAGAAAGAGAGGGCTTCTAGATGATATGAGTTGGTGGGAAAGGTTTGAGCTTTGAGGGCAGCGGAGGGTGGTTCCGTCTCTCTCTCTCTCTCTTTCTGGCATATTAAATTAGTAAGGAAATTAGGAAATGGCAATGAATGATACGATATGAGAGATGTATTGGTAATAAAAGTAGAGATAGAGAGAAAAGAGAGGTAACCTTCAGGTTGGTGTAAAGTAGGGTGTACTAAAACCCCTCTCTCACTCCCCAAACCCAACACAGCATGTGATCTCTTCATGCATTCTCTTACTTTTTTTATGCATAATTATACTACTCCTTCTTTTTATTTGATTTTTATTTTGATTATAAATATAAAATCTTAATTTATTTTATCTTTTATATTTATATATTTTTTTAAATAATCTTTTTAATAATAATAGTTCTAACCAATACACTTGATTAGTAAAAATATTTTAAGACAATACCTATTTATTACAAACAACTAATTTAACTTATTTTAGTAATCTACTTAAATTACTCAACTAACTCTTATATTTATGATCGAAAGTAGTACATGCTATTGGTATACTCATCATCATTATTATCAGAATTCAATTTCTCAACACCTCCTCCTCGACCTTCAATTTCCCCAACTTCAATTTTTTTAAACCACGGACAAGACTCGCACTCCAATTTATTTGGTTTTCTACACAAAATACAAATGTAATCGAAATTAGTACTAGGTTTTTTTCCCTTTTATTTGGTGCTACTCAGAAACTGATAATCAAGTTGAGATTTTACGGAAGTTAAGGAGATAAATTATTGTGGCAGTGACGATATATGGGACAGTGGGCATCATGTCCTTCCCGTAAAAGGAGAGGCATCATCAGATCCCAAATGATGTAGAAGTATGCATGGATCAGTGAAAAAAGGTGCCACAAAGCCACTTATATTTGAAGGTGGGCAAATGCCCCACTAAGGGTGTGTTTGGATGAAACCAAACTGTGGTTTGGAAAAGTGATTCTGGAGAATAGATTCTGGAGAGAATAGATTCTGTGAAAAATAGATTTTGTAAAAAAGTGATTCTGAGAAGTGAAAGTGTTTGGATAGTTGTTATCAGAATCACTTTTTATATATACAAATTACTAAAAAAAAGACATAAGTTAATATGATAATTACAGAAAAAATAGATTTTATGATATATTTTAATTTGAAGGAATAAAATTGTTAATAATATATTTTTACCAACATAATTAATAATACATAAGATAATATAATTAATAAATAATTAATGTGTATATATATTTATAAAATATAAGACTAAATATGTTTATCAAAAAATATGTTTATAAAAAAAATAACAAGATACATATCATATAGGCTCTCACACTCTCTCTTTTTTCTCCAAAAGCAAAAAAATTTTGCTTTTTTCAAAACCATGGTTTTGGAGTCAAAACCATGGTTTTGACCAAAAATCATGGTTTTGGTTTTTAGAGGGGGTGTTTGGGTGATTGACACCCCAAACCATGGTTTGGGTCCCCAAACCATGGTCTGGGGTGTCACCCAAACACACCCTAAGTTTCAGAGAATTTAGTACATGATATTTGTAATTTAGAAACATTAAAACTCATTTATAAATGAAAGATCACAGCTCAAATTATTAGTACTTATCCATTTATATATCACCTTATAATTTTGAACCCTTGGGCCTTGACCCATTTTCGATTTTTTTTTTTTGACAATTTTCAAACTCTACATAATTTTAGAAAAAATTACACTGAGGATCAAAGAAAAGAAAATAATTTCCAGTAAATTCTAATAACAACTGGACAGTTGTCATTTATTATTTGAAACTTATTATTACTAGCTGCTTTTTTGTCATTAAAACTTTTTAATAATTGTATTTCTTATTTGAAACTTTATAACAATTCTCCCAATAATTTATTCGCCATGCATCTACCATTAGTGAAAAATAGATGTTAAAGAAAGGAGACAAATGAAGAGTATGAGGTGATATATTAGTAAGAGGAAGCTGAGAAGGTTGTGATTTTAAAAAATGCAAATTAATTAGAAAGCTAATGTGACATTAATTGTGAAACCACACCGTCCCTGCAACGGCACATATGCAATCCATAGCCTTCATAATTTTATTGGCGATGTCATGGATGCAAATAACAAGTGTCATCAGAAGCACCAATTTGCTCTGATGTCTCTTGTTGCCTCCCACGCTTGTTGTGTTCTCCCATGATGAGTGCTGCCAGTGTTTAAGGTTGACCTCTTCAAATTAATTCCACTGTTCGTCATCATTAACAGTAGTCATTCTCGATTCCCCCTCAAAATTTCTAGCTACTTTACCGTAACCCTTTCTCATTTTCCACATCTTTTCTCATGTACATCTTTTTGGAGCCAGTGAGTTTCAATCATGGGGATAGTTGCAGGGGAAAAAGATCGATTTATTGAAGGCATGACCACTAATTAACTTAACCTTGGTTTCCTATTTTCTTAACGATAATGATGGAGAATCTTGCAGCATGGACCTGTTCTGTACATATAAACTCATTTCCATTGGAAGCCAACTTCCCTCAAAATCGATGAAGTCACTTCCTCAGGCATCCATGGAACTCTCATCCATCAGTGACCCTTTTGCGCTTCGGTCCGGCAACAACGATGACCATGGAGCATGGCGGCCGCCGCGGCTTGGTTGATCGGCGACAACTACAGCGGCGTCTTTGACCGTCATGTAAGCTCGCTCTCCCCCCTCAATTATTGCCGTCGATGGAACTCTCTCTCACAATTAAATTTGTACTTTCTCACCCATGAAGATGTAAAAAAAAAAAAACGAATTTTTAACCGTATAAAAAGAAAACGAATTTTAACTGCGATTTCGAACCAATTTTTGTTATTGAACACGCGAAAATACAAATAATTTCCCTCAATTTTAGCTCTCTTGTAGATAGCCTCTCTCATCTTTAAAAGTTTAAAAATAACACCATCAACTTAGATAGCTTGACATTTAGGCTGTTAAATCTAATAGAATGGATGCCATGTCACATTATTTAAAATTGCACGGAAAATAACATGTAATTTTTATTACTTCATTAATTTATCCCAACTTAAACTTATAATTATATTAAATGATATTTTTGTGATTCCATCAATAATAATCCCTAATTTCTAGGCTCTCCTAATAATTGCCTTCCTCTTTCAGCCTCTCCCAACTCGAAAAAATATTTCCTGTTTGCAGTGTTTTATTCTTCTTCTAATCATCTTCTTCATTCCAAAAATCATCTTCATCACATTTTTCCTTCAAAACTGGAAATCTTTTGTGAAATTCTTTTCTAATGAAAGCAGACCCACCCATCCATGAGATATTGAGAAACAATGGATCGCGCTTAGTTGTTGTGACTTACATTTTGCTCAGTGGTCACGGCTTACATTCTTCCTCTTGCACCTGTCTTTTAATTGTACCAGGTGAATGTTGGTGGGCTTGAAAAATATGCGGGAGGCAGCGAGACAAAGACAATGAAGAAAATTATTCACACTTCATCTTTTTTTGCACGAAAATCAATTAATGGAAGCATTGCTATTTAGAATCTGTGGTAGGCGTTATGTGTCGACGATGATTTTTAGAATGAAGAAGAAGAGTAAAACGCTGCAAGTTGGGAAGTAAAACTACAAAAATAGCCAGTGTAATTATGAGCCTTAATTTGGGGTAAATTAAAAAATAACAAAAATCACATGTCATCTACCAAGCAATTTAAAATAATCTAACATGGTATCCATTTCGTTAAATTTAACGGCCATTTTAACGATAAGTTGTTAAATGTCAAGCTATCTAAGTTGAGGTGGGTATTTTGAAAATTTTAAAAATGGAGGAGATTACATGCAACAGGTCTAAAGTTGAGGAAAATTGTTTGTATTTTAGCTTTTTTTGTGCCAAATGAAATGTCCCTTTTAAAAATGAAAAATCAGAAACTGAGCTATTTAATTTGAGCTGGCCTCAAATGGCACGTACGCATCGAGCATTAAACTGGAAGGTATTAATTAAGCGTATTTGTACCCACACCGCTTGACACTTGGCACCCCAATTTGATTTCTCGAAAATGGAATTTAAGATATGTCACAAATTGCGTAGGAATTAGTGAATATGACATGCTAGACCTATGTTTGGTGGAACCAGAAAAAACACGTAGTTATACGCATGACAATGATATTTGTATTTTCATATCGAAAAAGAAATAATAACATTAATTATTTCAAAATAATCAGCACATGAGAAATTTATAAAATGAGTTAATGTCTCCTTTTTCAAGATTATCCTCCTATATAATAATGATGGTTTGTAGTTACAAAATCATTTTTAATTTTATTTGTTTTATTAATGTTCTTTGTTATTGTGTAATATATAACTGGCCAAAAAAATAAAGTCTGCTGGGGGAGGGAGGAATAGTTGTTTAATTTATAAGTAAAATGTGCATATACAGTACTTCCTTCAATGCTAAATACAATAACTAATGGAAGAGTTTCTTTTCATCTTAAGTGCAAGATTTCAATCTACTTTATTTTTGAAATTTATAATTTTTTTATATATTATCTTTATTAATTACACTTGTGGAAGGAATATTTTTATTACTAAAGATAGTTTAAAGTACACAATTAGACATGGTATTTTAGAAAAACAAGCACACATGTTTTTTTGCCTCATAAATAACTAACTTGAACTAAATTTCTTAATATTCATAAATTAATTATATGCTTTCACATTATTTAAGATAAGAAGGAATATGATTTTTTTAAAAAAAAATAGTAAATACATTATAACTGGGTAATAAGGGGGGAGGAGAGGAAAGGGATGTATAAGAGTAGTTTGGTGATTCATGTGAGAAGGCAGAGAGATGGTAATGGTAGTTTGGCTATCCAATGAATGGGGGGGAGAGAGAGAGAGAGAGAGGGACAAGTTTCTAGAAGGGGTTGGAGGGGTTGGGTTTAAAGGGAAATTGGCAATGAGTGATGGGGGTGTTTGTGTTGCCTTCTGCTTCACCCATTGACCCGAGCCTTGTGGTTCAAGTTTTATTGGGCTGTGTCACAAGGCCAAGCAAAGCAATCAACCCTCCCCACTTCACCCTTTTGTTTGTTTTGTCTTTTTATTATCCCTCCATTAGTTATCTTTCACCATCACCTCTCTATCTCTCTTGTTTATAAAAAACCATTATTGTAACTACCTACCCTACAGATGCGTGAATAAATAAATGATTTGTGAATAACAACAACAAAATGTTATCATGGGTTAAACTATTAGCTATCCAAGCGTAATACATATGACAGTATATTATGCAGTAGCCTCTGCAAATTATTTATAGCCACCAAAACTAGAGCTACAGGTGTGTGGATGATGGTAAAGAGCTTGAAGAGGGATGGGTACGAGTTGCTTTCAAAAGTGAAGTTGGAAAAGGACTCAGTCCACTTGGGTTATTATTTCCCCACTTAGCCTCCTCATTTCTACTCTCCTTTTAACTCCCTCTTTTAATTTCTGTTCACCCTCCTTCCCATTTCTATTCTGTTTTAATGCTTGCTTCAAATTTCTGCAACTCCAATCATATACCACCATCCTCTATGACTATGATCTGTATGTGTCATGTTCTCAAAACAAGACACCAGAAAACCAATCATTCAAGTTAAGTTAGAAAATTCATAATTTTTAATCCATATGGTATGGCCAGAACCCATAAATGTCTTCATGGCCAACCAGAACGAAGAAGCAACCTAATGCCTTCACTCCAGATGCTGATAACCCCACATGCCCAATTCCACCAGCTTGAAGAGAACAGATAATCACAAGAATTTTTTATAAAGAAAATAGAATGATAGAGGCATATATTAAAGTAGTGCTGCATGATTGTGTGGTGAGAGCCAGCACATGAACACGAGTATGTCATGTGCTTAGGTACACTCGTGGGGAAGGCTAAGACCTAAGTCCGATGCTGTCCCAAATACTAAAGAACCCTCCTCACTCCTTACCTACCTACCTCTTTGGCTGTCCTCCACATGTGGCCTCTGCCCTCATCCTTTCCGCTATTACCTCTGTTTCAGTCGCACATTTATGGCCGATTTAAAGCCTTCCTGGCTTCCTCAGCATTAACATATAGTACTGCTACACTTCTCTTCCCTTTTCACACATCTCCTTTGGGGTGTTTGGTAGCATCATTGACAGACACTAACACCTCATCTTTTTCAACCTATGTCTCCCTCTTCCCCTCGTTCTCTCTGTGTTTTCCTGTTCATTAATTAGTAATATAATTGTATTAGGTGTTCTTTTTTCCCTTTTAATTACTCAGGACAGATTGTCCACTTGCCTGCGGATTATAGGGATTTTTTTATAGAAAATATCAATCCCCGGTGAGGTGAGGTAATAGAGTATTATAGTCAGAGAAATCATTAAAGGACCGTCTGCGCAACCCCACTAGCTAATGTTGTGGAATCTTAAAATAACTGAACAATTTAGCTTAAGGGACAATAGGATTGGTTTCATTTATTAGTAATTTCCAAACCAACCGCGTTCTGTGGTGTCTGTCCAGTGTCAACACCCTGATTGATATCTGCATAACAGTGGGGAAAAAGGGGAGAGAAAAAGAAAAGGAATGAAATCATCAATTTCATATTGAGATTATCAAGTCTCTTAAACTTTTCATTTTTTTTTTCCAATTAATGAATCTGAAAACAATGGATTCTTTGCACATATTTGCTATTATCTCGTGATTCAAAAACACCCAGAGCAAAAGCTTGATTATTTTCAAGTTACTAGGCTACTGGGTCAGATAAATCTAACAACCCAAGAACTCAGTTATTACTCTCTCTGTTCATTATTATAAGAGATAAATAACCAAATTACGTTGATAAAAAAACAATTAAAATTAGTTGAGGACAATTAATGTGTAAAAAGTATAATGTTTTTTCCAACAATGCCCCCATTAATAAGGAGAGAGAGTATGAGAGAGAACAATTAAATTATTAAAAGAAAGAAAAGTGAGAGGGAGAGAGAGTATGGGTTGGAGACAAAATAAATAGTGGTAAAATAGAAAATCAATACAAAAAAATACAGACAACTTTTAAGTGTCTTTTATATATGAGAACATGCTATAAGCATCAAATGTCTCTTGTAATAAGCAACGGAGGAAGTACTAGGTAAGTCAAAAACTTGGTCACTGCTCAATACTGGGTTACTGACACTCTATATAATATATATGCATGATAATAACAATTGCACAACGCGATTGCTCTCGAGCCAATTAAATTGATTTAATGTATGCCGTTCACCTACTCTGTATAGCTTCATTAATTTTTACCAAATAGAGGTCCATTGCCTTCAATTATACTATACATTTTTTTTGTTGGCTTCAACTACCACTAGATAGGACGTGCGCAGGTTAAAAGTGGCGCGCAGTTATCATGATCCCTTTGTGTTGGTTTTTAGTGGTTAAATCTTGTCTCACAAGTGTTCATTCCATTAAATGTATCCCACCCTGGAGAAACTTCAGGCTTCACCCATTTTTTAAAAATTATATTCGCTCCCACATCTTTGGTCCAGGCAGCTCGCAGAGCTGGGGGGGAATGGATAACTCAGGTCCCGCAGGCCACTGGACGTATGCCGTAAAAAAGCATGATAATGTTCTGATTTATTCACACACAGGAATAGGATATATAGATTGTCTCACCTCTTGCTCCTGCCTAAAGGACTTCAGGAGATTTGTAGATTAATATTGGAATATTGCTTTCGAAGAGTATTAGCTGGTAGTAGTATTTATTGTCTATTGATATACTCAGAAAAGCTGTTGCACTATTTTCAGGGCCCCTGACAATAAGTATGCTGTTACTTGAATAATTGCAAAAACATTGTGGCCACGCTTACAAACGTAGTTCAAATAGCCAAGCCTAGTTCGTTCTTATGCAAACTTCATACAAGAAAGCCGGGATCGCCACAGCAGCCGAAACTGCTATACCAGAGCAACTTGAGCAAGTGCGGTTGGCACAAAAAAGTTTCATATTTGATTCAGCATAATCTCTGAAAAATGCATCTTCGTCCTGCCAACCAGGAAATACCATAGTTACCAGAAGAGCAAGATATTAAGAGACGGAAAAGAAAAATTAGAGAAAAGGAAAGGAACGAAAAGGAACAAAAGATAATTCCCACTAATAAATTGTCGCGTAAAAGCAATGATCTCAGGCCCAAGGATCTAGTCAACTGACAAGTGACAGAAAGCTAACAAGCATTATGTAACTGTGTATTTAATAGAGAGACCTCTGCATGCTCTGTAAAACACAAATTACCTGGACATGGGCATTAAGATAGGGTAGGAGGTAAAAAGTTTCCTTAACCCTAGTCATCTACGAATGTCTCCTGAGTTTTCAAAAGCAACAAGTAAGACTCTAAACTCTAGCAAATTAATGCATCAAAACCAACAAGTAGGACTCTAAACTCTCGCAAATTAATGCATTCTTCTGTTTTAATCTTAATAATACTGATGAAAGGAAAATGGATAAAGAGACCTATTTGCTAGAATGAGAAATTTCAGATGCCGCCGAATTTGAAAGCTGATGGGCTATTTGCATGTGACCAAAAGCTGAAGGAGTTTTCTGACATATTCCCCAAAAGAGATTGCACACAAGGGATTGCGCATCCATCATTCACATTACATAATAACAATTACCTTTTTATACAGTTGAACATAACATGGAATCCAGGACCGTCCAGTAAGGCCTCGTCAGTAAGAAGTTTAAGCAGGCTCTCAGAATCTCCTTTTAACAATTCTCTGATATGAACACCCATGTTTAGCTGAAGATAAAAATCAAGCTCCACCAATGTCCTCCATGGCATGGCAGATGTAGTATTTCAAGCAGCTAAAATCAAACTTCAGCGGTTCCTCCGCCCATGGACATCAAACCCTTATCACTCTGGATGTGCTCTTCCCTGTAATATCAGAATGTGGGATCATACCATGGATGACAATTAAAAGTATACACAAGATAACAACCAGTGTATGTCCTCCAGACATTGCTACAATATTCGTCTGTCACATGTGGGGCACACACTGGATGAAACACATCATATAGATGAAGTACACGTACCGACAGCATTCAAGCAATTTGTATGCTTTCATATATTCTTAATTTCATTGGGCTGAGGACAGGTGAGGTTAAATCAGAAAGGACAAAACACTTGTTAAGCTCCGAGGAGATATTTTCCTAATTAACAAAGGGGGCAAACGTGGACATGCAAGCAAAATGATGGAAAGCCCACTTTATTTAGCAACAGGAAGACGTTTTTCTTTGGTATTCTTTTGATGGATTAACAAGAAGCAATGACTCCCAACGGGTATTATTTTTATGGTGAACCACAGCTTACTCTTCTCCCTGGAAAAAAGTCAGTTGTAGTTGCTCCAGAAACAACACCCACAAGCTGAAACGCGACAACTAAAGAGAATGAAATTGTTAACTGACATCCCCATTCAGGTTGTGTTTTAAATGGAAATTAGCCAAGTCCCCAAGAATTCATATCTTGTTGCACAGGAAGAATGTATACACCACAATCTTTCTCCCCTCCCTCTTGGTGAACAGAATCAGGACTCATTTTGCAGTGGATTATATTGTATTATGTGATGGTACAATTTTACTTGTACAAGTAAAATGTGGACATTTTACTCACAAACATTTATATAAGAAGGCCTAATGATCAACCACCAAGGTTACTCTGTATATATAATGGAAATGATTCTCGGCTAGGGAAATGGTTATCAAAACTCACTTCTATAAGTGTGTTATGGACATTAATTGTGAAAGAGAGAGAGAAAGAAGAGAGATCAAGAAGCAGGGGAGTAGATAAATAACAGAATAATCTGGAAAGATGTGGAATTTTGATGGGAAAGATAGCGAGGTAGGAGAAACAGGGGAATCACATTTCCACTAACCAAAAGCCTGATTACAATTAGTCCCTAAGCCATCTATTTATAGCCATTAGCTACCAACAGTCATCTCTCCTCATTAACCTCTAACTAACCTATTTTGTTTATTATAACATCATATCATAATGCTGGATGTGGAGTTTCAGATTAAGAACTGCAAATAAATTAGCTCTCTTCCACGAAGTGGTTTATCATAGAATGGATTGTTCACCCAAATTTAATCCAAAACTCTTGGAACTTGCAAAAACTCGCACTTCATGCCGAGACAAATAATCTCATCTAATTCGATAATGACTATAGGTACGACCATTTTGAAATATAAAAACTAAAGAACAAGCAAGAGAAGAAGCCTGTCTATATACTAAGTTATGAGGCCATCGCATCACCTATCACATCACAGAATATACCTAGTGCATATCTATGCATTCAAGGAGCAACTGCTCTCATGAGAACATAGTGAATGAAATGATCACCTGGGTAGAGGTTTGCATATGTGATATTAGGTGCTTTGCTTTCACTTCCTATAGATATCAGAAAGATGAAGACACAAGGCTATTTCCAAATTGCTGCACAAATTTTGGCGAAACGATAAGAGGTGAAGAATCCAAATAATTCTGTCTAAACACAAGCCATAATAAAATATAGATTCAAAATTTACATTTGCAAATTGACTATTATTGAAGTTCTAGGTAAATCCAAATTCCAAACTGCTTGAACATGATTCTTCATGCTTACTATCACAAACGGGCATATAATCACGTACCGTATAACAAGTATGAAGCTTGAGTCATTTTATTAATACTGGCGCATGAATAAGCACACAGTGCGCGTACACAATAGCAAGAAGCAAGACCAATTGCGTCGTTTGTACAAAGACGCACATAATCTCTGCCAGTGCCTCAAACATATTCCATTAAGGTGAACATCAGCTACTTATACACCGGAATTTCATGAAATCCCAGGATGAAATAAAGAAGTGGTCAACTAGAACCAGAGCTTACGCAGAGGACAGTAGCCTTCAAGCCTTGTTAGAAGCATAGGAGTACTCCTCCCCGTTCCTTAGGGAGCCATTAGGTCCATCAGCCTCCGTCTTGACATCGCAAGCTACAGCATCGAGCCAACTAAAAAAGCACAGAGATTAAGCAAATTGTGTTGTGTACACAAATGGGTGTGTCAAAAGTGAAGTCCTGTATTGTCCAAGAGAGAGGGAGCTCAAGTGTATAAATGTTATCATACATTATTGCGTCACGTTGGGAAACACAGTTGAGAACTAGTGATTTTCCCCCAGCGTGCGAATTAGAACAGTACTAGGCACTTTTTATAAAACACTTTTGCAAAATTAAATTATAAAATGGTGTTAAGAGAACTTATCAGAAATTTTTTTTTTTTTATTGTTTATTTTTGGTAAGAGTCAAAGGTTACTGAATATTAGAAGTTTTTCAAACTGTGATTAATCTTCCATTAATCCTTAAACCATTTTCCCTGATGATGATGCTATTGGGAACACTAACCCTACTGTCAACATTGCCCATGCCCCTGTCTTCACTGTAGTGCCATTACCCAAGCCATTCCCGGATGTCTCCAAGATTGATGTGTTCGATGGAAAGTACTTCAGACAGTGGCAGGAACGTGTGTACACTATCCTTGACACACATGGAGTTACTGCTGCTCTTACCCAACTTGAACCCCCTACTGATATTGACCAGGCCCAGAAGAATGCTTGGGCAAATGCCAACAAGGTTTGCCGACATACACTCATTAGCACTTTATCTAATGACTTGTTCGATGTCTACTGTGTATACAAAGAGGCACATAAAATATGGGAGTCACTGATTGTGAAGTACACTACTAAGGATGCTGGAAAGCAAAAGTTCACAGTTGGGAACTTTTACAAATGGGAGATGGATGAAGAGAAGAATATAAAACTTCAAATCAATGAATACCATAAGCTACTGGAAGAGCTCCGAGCTAAGAAGATAAATTTACCAGATGAGTTCGTGGCCAGGGTCCTCATCGAGAAGCTACCAAACTCATGGAATGACTATAAGCAACAACTAAAGCAGAAGCAGAAGCAACTTTCACTATTAGATCTAATCATGCACATCATCATTGAGGACACAAACTAGAAGGCAATCCAAACAGCTAAAGGAAAGGAGTTGGCAACAAAGGCAAATTTGATAGAAGCAAAGCCGCATGACAAGAGGCACAACACTAAACCTAGAAATAAAAACTTTGATTACAAGCCTAATGATTCTAACCCTAAATTCAAGAAGAAAGGAGATTGCTTTGTGTATGGAAAGCCAAGTTACCATGCAGCTCAGTGCAGTAAAAGGGTTGGTAAAAACAATAACCGTAAAGGTAGAAATCCTCCTAAGCCAAACGTAAATTTGGTGGAAGGAGATGACGATGAGATGATTGTTGTTGTCTCACAAACCCTTATGATCTCCGATGTAAGGAAGTGGGTGGTAGACTCAGGTGCTACCAGGCACATCTGTGCGAATAAGGACATGTTCGCCTCCTTTAAAAAAGGAGAAGACCATATTTATCTAGTTGATTCCCGGACCATGAAAGTTTTGATAAAAGGAAAAGTTGTCCTGAAACTCACGTCTAGAAAGACCTTAGCATTGAATGAAGTTCTGTATATGCCTGACGTTCGAGCTAACTTGATTTCTGTGGCTCTGTTAGGGAAAGCTGGGACTAAGGTGTCATTTGAATCCGACAAGATCGTAATGACAAAGAATAATGTTCTTGTTGGGAAGGGCTATTGTAATCAAGGATTGTTTGTACTAAACATTGCTGAAATGAATGAAAATGCTTCTTCTGCTTACTTGCTTGTGTTCTATGTTAATTCTTTTGATATGTGGCATGCTACATTAGGACACATAAGTAAATCTTATATAAAAAGGCTTTATCATCTAGGGTTGATATCAGGGATTAAAAATAATATTCTTAATAAATGCGAAATGTGTGCAAAAACAAAACAAACTAAAAAATCACATTTTCCTACTTAAAGAGAAACCGAGTTATTATCCTTAATACACATCTAGTTGGTTTGAAAGTGGTAAAAGATATTATGTAACTTTTATCGATGATTTTTCAAGGTATACAAAATTATATTTCTTAAGAAATAAAGACAAGGCTTTTGAAAAATTCCTTTCATATAAAGCTGAAGTAGAAAATCAATTAGACAAAAAAATTAAACGAGTTAGATCTAATAAAGGAGGAGAATTTTTACAATTAAATGACTTTTGTGAAAAAGAAGGAATTTTTCATGAGGTAACTCCTCTATATTCCCCAGAATCTAACGTTGTTGCGGAAAGAAAAAATAGAACACTAAAAGAAATGATGAATACTTTACTTGTAAGCTTTGTTGCACTAGATAACATTTAGGGAGAAGCCATTTTGTCTGCCTGTTTTCTACAAAATAGAATACCCCATAGGAAAACAAATAAAACTCCTTATGAATTATGAAAAGGCTTTACACCTAGTCTTAATTACTTAAAAGTGTGGGGCACCTTGCAAAAGTTTTATTACCTAACCCTAAAAAGAGGAAAATAGGTTCTAAAACTACTGATTGTTTATTTATAGGGTATGCTTAGCAAAGTACCACTTATCATTTTATGGTTTTAAAAAGTGATGTTTTTGGTCAAAATACTGTTACTGAAACTAAAGATGCAGAATTTTTTGAACATATTTTTCTTTTGAAAGCTGAGCGTATCCTTAGAGTTGTTGAAAATTCTTCTGAGCAAAACTCAAATGAAAATGTAGTAAAAAGTTTACGGAGAAGTAAAAGGCAAAGAAAGGAAACCTCCTTTGGAGATGATTTCTACACTTATTTAGTACAAGATGAACCTAGAAATTTTTATGAAGCGACCTCTTCTTTGGACACACCTTTTTGGAAAGAAGCAATTCAGGCTGAA